GCTAAGGTAGAGGCACCCTGCCAGACTTGAGGGTGGGAGTGGTGACATGGGCCAAGCGGGGAGGGAGTACTCAGAATCCTCTGGTTCACGTTGCAGGTGCTGGCAGCCAGCAAGTCCTTGGAGAGGGCAAGGGGGAATGGACACAAGTTGCTGGGGGAGGGAGTACTCAGAATCCTCTGGTTCACATTGCAGGTGCTGGCAGCCAGCAAGTGCTTGGAGAGGACAAAGGGGAATGGACACAAGTTGCTCTTGGGGAGATTCTGACTGGACATGAGAGGGAAATTTTTCACAGTGAGAACAGTCAACCATTGGAATAATCTCCCCAGGGAAGTGGGGGACTTGACTCTGCCACATTGGACACTTCGAAGACTCAGCTGGTCAGAGTGTTGGGCCATCTTGTCTAGACTGTGGTCTTGCCTAGAAAGGTTGGACCAGATGATCCTTGAGGTCCCTTCCAATCTAGGATTCTCTGATTCTATGTGGAGCTGAGAGCAGTGAAAGCCCAAAGGAGCAGAGCACCTGAAGAGGTCACCAGGAGCTGTAGTGCAGGGTAAGCCCTCCAGGAAAGAGGAAGGGAGAATGATTGACGCAAGGCTGTGTAAGTGTGTTTAAAAACATGAAAAACATGCAGTCCCCTTAACATACATCTTAGAAGGAGGATTGTGGGATGGTTTTTTCCAATAGAACATCATTATCCAATGAGTAGGTTCATCCCAGAAGGGACAAGGTGACAGTGACGTTAGCTAAAGCTTTGCAGTGTCTGCCTTCTCAGGATAACAAACTTTTTAGGAAAGTTGGTGCCCATCTTAAGGTTACTGTAGTTTAATATTTCAGGATGGATTCCCTCCTGACGTGTTGCCCGTGAAATGCTGATAGGGCTAGAAGCACTTTGTAACACCAGCTCCATTAAGAAGTATGCAAAACTAATGCACAGGGCTCCCAGGTTTTCGATGCGTGGTTTTTATAGATCTTTTTCTCAAGACATCCTGGGAGACGCTTTGCTGTGTTGAAAGGCTTCCTTGGTCATTGTAACCAGCGCTAGGAAACAACATTGCTGCTGGCTGGCAGTGTACTCTGTAGAAAACTGCTCAACAATTTTCAAAGACTGCTTTCCAAATGGAATCACGATGGTAAATGAACCCTTTTAAACTTAAACTCACAAAACTGAATTCAGTTCAGGAAACCGTGTTGGTTCTTCAGCCTTTTGTGAGTCACTTCCACTGTAACATTCTCTGGAATCATTCATTTTTGAGTGTTAAAAATGACTGGTTGGTAATGGGGAGTTATCACAGATTCAGAGGTATTTCCATGTTGCCTGTCAGCGTGCCACTTCATACTGTATTTATTCTCACAGAGCCTGTTATATAAAAGTACCATTTTACAGAGCGGAGGCACAGAGAGAATAAATGATGTAGATGAGTCTGTGTAAGGAAATATGTTGCAGAACTGATCTTGGGTTTCCTCAGCTGAAGGCGTTTAGCTGCCGGACCAGCTCTCCTCTTCCGCAGCATCTTGGTCATCCCATCCTGTGCAGCCAAAAAGGCTGCCGGAGATATGGTCATCGGGAGAGTCTGAATGTTATCAGAAAGCTGTTCTTAGCTTTAGTGGCAGGATTTTGTCAAATAACGCAATGATTAGCTGAGAGTTTAGTACCTAAGTGTAGCATGTTTATGTACGCCAGTACTTTGAAAACAAGGAAAGCAAAAAATGCTTGGACAACAGGTTATCATCAAGAACTGTCATCCTTGCTACGAGCAATGAGCGTATGCAACAGTTTGGCTTTTGAACTTTGCTAAAATTATTTGCTCATAAGATTTCGGCTTATGAAAGATGACGAAATGCATGAGCAGAGAACACAGATATCGTTACTAGATCTTGTCAGCAGTTTTGAAGATAAATTTTAACAATGTTAGGGTTTTCCAGGCCTCTTTCAAAATGACTATGTTGCCTCGCTGAACGTGCTGATTGTTGAATGTCTTTGTCCAAGAACAGTTGGCCTTAATTGCTTCTGAGCAATATTTCCCTGGAAGCTCTCAGATAACAAAAGGCCATCCAGAGAAGTCTGAACATATCTCTGCTTAGAAACTGGCCATGTTCAAGCTGTAAAGTCTGTAGGATTCTTTTTCTCCTGGGGAAAAGCAGGAGAGGGCAATAGGTGCAGGATGTGGAGGGAAGAAGCAGTACCATGACCCTACGGCATTTCTGCCTGTTGAGTCAGGGAGTGACATTTAAACAATTCTGCCTGCACCCAGTATGAAAAACTGTGATGCAGATCAAATTGCTGGCTGTGCTCAGAGAGAGATGAAGAGGAAAAAGGTCAAGGCACCTATCCATGGCAGCCTTTCCTGTGTTCCAGATGTTGGGGAGCTTACCAGCAAGCCAAATGGGTCTTTAATGCCTTTTTTTTTTCTTTTTGTCTTCTTTTTTTGAGGGAATGCATGGCTCCGGACTTTACATCTTTAGAGCTGGTGGTTTCCACACCACAATGATTCAGCCAGCTTGAACTCTTGACCAAATCTCAGTTTGTTTCCTGGTTTTGGTTTTCTAAAATATTTTACATTTAGCAGAGCATAAAGGCCTCCCTGCCACATGACAGTGTAAGGAGGGGAGCCGTGCTCTTTTCACTGGTTAGCCCTCAAAGGGTGGTTCTCTGTGCTTCCAAAAACATTGCAACCGAAGCAATTGGAAAGGAATCCCTGAATTCTGACTAAAACTAAGACTGAATTCTTCCATGCTTCTGGCTTTTTGATGCTGTGTGTTTATGTGGAATTTCCTTTGAGGTTTAACAAGGTCTGATTTTTAGTTGAGAAATATGCCCTGCCTGAAACGTTCTGAGGTTTAACAGGTGTGTTATCGCATAGGAAACTCATATACATTTGTTAAGTTGCTAGATAAATAGGTTAGTACTGGCAGTGATTTCAGGGGATAGTAGGTTGTTAAATTCATGGGAAGGGCCTTGTTCCTTTGCCTCGCTGGATGTTTTTTGATGACTGAATTCTCCAGGGTGCCCGTTTTAGGGAATATGCTGGCGGTTATCCCTGTTACTGTGTAGGCTCAGTAAGGACTTAGAGTAGCTTGGCTCTGGAGTTTTAAACACCAAGAGAGGGATGCTAGGCAGGTAATCTATAGCCTGGGAAAGCTGCAAACGAAAGAAATTACACCCTGAAAATTAAAAACATAAAATGATCTTTCAAAAGTTAATACTTTTATATAGATACATTATCCCAAATGATGCATCTTATGAGCAAACAAAACATTGCCGTAATAGCTTTGAGACCTAAGATGGAAGCCTATTGCAGTTTACCTGTGTGAAAACACAGCTTTACTCCCTTCACACCCTGTGCTGCCGCCTTCTTCAGCACAGAGAAATATTGGTACCTACAGGTTTATTTCAGAGTCCCCTTCATGCAGCCACCCTCATTGCTTTCTTTTTTTATGCTACTCTCCTTGATCTCCATAATTTTTTCCCTGCAGGCCAGTATTTTGTTGTCTATCTCAGATTCTGCATGGGTTGCCTGAGGCTGTGGGCTGAGGTAAGCTGCCTGCATGGGGCCATCCTTCTTCTCCAATACCCGTACTTTTAAAATGGTGCAGGGTCCCCAAAATGCAGGACATAGATGTACAGGTATGCTGATAATATTGAGGTCGATTAACAAATATTCAGGTCACCAAGTGTTCAGAAACTGCAAAGTGGGGTGGGTTTTCACTTTCTAGCACCGCCTTTGAGTAGAGCAGTCAGGAGGGAGCTGGTGCAGCCGTTGCTACGAGCAGTGTGACTTGAGGAGCAGCTCTCTGCCCACCTCCACGTGGCACTAATACCGTGTCACCGCGGCCGTGCATGAGACTGAGTCTGGTCACCGCGCACATATTGCACGGGGAGCCCCTAGGGGAGCAGGTAAGCATCCTTGCTGCTGTGCTGTGGGATCATTGATGATAGATTGCGTTGCTGAAGTCAGTGATGTAAGATCAACGTAACATCCGTAACCGATCTCTGAAACCTCAGATTTTCCCATTTCGGGATGTAAAACACAACCACCTTTTTGCACTCCATTTTCTAATGTGACTGGCCCAATTTGAATGTCTTGTCCTGGAGTGGGAAGCAAGTACTGTATGTGGAGGATACTGTATGGTATCCCATATTCAACTATATGGTTTTCTTCCTGAACATGGCAAGACAAAAAGGAAATAGAAATTACTTCAGCTAAGTGAATAATTCACACAGAAGAATTTTTTCAGAGTACCCAACCTTCTCTTCTATTTCAGCTAAGTGAATAATTCACACAGAATTTTTTCAGAGTACCCAACCTTCTCTTCTACTTGTATCATGTTGATGATGCAATTGCTGTTCTCTGATATTTATGTAGCTTTCAAATTTATATTACTTTTTTTAACTCCATGGGTTGATGTGAAACTGTTTTGTGAGCCATCATTAATCACGGTGTTGGCTTGGTGAGGTTTGGGTGCTCTTATTGTATTGTTTGTGCTTTCTGTTTGGATGTCCGTTTGTCTGTTTGCACGGACGCTTCCAAAATAAATGCTCCTGAGCTGATACAAACTTCAGTTTCCCTGAAGGCTGTCCTGTGAAGCTCAGGTGCTGGCTTTCTTTAAGTGCATTTGCTGGTACAACTCAGTTGCAGAGATGTTTGCAGATGGTACAAAGAAAAGGGACACAAAGAAAGCTTGAGGTAACAGAATGGAGGAGATGGTCTGCAGTACAGCCATCAGCTCTTACAAGGTGCTGAGCTCTTTCCGTGCTCAGAGGTGCTTATTGTGCAAAACCTTCATATGCATCAAAGATGAAACTTCTACTTAGTCCAGTTACTTGATACTTAATGGCAGGGTCAGGTTAACGGTTGGACTTGATGATCTTAAAGGTCTTTTCCAACCTAACCGATTCTATGATTCTCTAAGTGCTGGGAGGGTCACTGCATCTCTCAGATAGCTTTTTCAGTCTTGTACCTGTTAGCAAGTGGTTCCTGTTCTTCAGACTGCTGTTACCTGCTCCAGCAGATAAGGACAGCATGGAATACTGTAGGGTATGTGATGACTGTTCACTGTGGCTGGTTCCTTCTGCTGATATCAGAAGATGTTATATGCCTTTTTGCTTCCCTCATTGATCTTAAGGCTCAAACTTCTAAGCATTGACTGACTTTCTTTTTCATGCATTGCAAAACCAGGGATTTCATTGAAGGGGAGCGTTCCAAGCTGCTTTTGAGACACCTGATGGTGTCTCATCAGGAGACAAGAGGATATTACTAAACCGATTTCTTGAAAAGGATCCTTCAGGATACATTGCTGCCACTGTGTGTTAGTGGTACGGCCGCAGGTGGGACCCAGTTGAAACTGGTGCAGCGAGTGCCTGAGCCAGCACAGCAGAGCAGCACGGGCAGCTGCTGCACCAGTGTGGGGCCGCAGATTAGGCAAGGCTAATTTGTGTTGTGCCCTATTACAGCCTCACTGCGGCTCCCAGTGAAACGGCCCAGGCCTCGTGCGGTGCAAGCCACTCGCCCCAGCCTGCTGAAGACCAAAGCGCCCAGCCCGAGGACCCTGATGAAGCTGTGACCGTACTGACAGCTTCCTCTGTCTCCTGCCTCCCATTCAGCTGCATGTGAAAGCATCTTCCAGCCAAGGTAGCGTGAGTAATCTGGCCCAGCTTCATGGTCTTTTCCAACCTAGATGATTCTATGATTCTATGATTTGTCTGCACAGAGTTAACCTGGTGTTTCCAAAGGAGGTTTTGAAGGGCATCCATTAATCCAAGATTCCAGTGCCTTGGAGAATGGGTGAGGCATGACTGAACAGGACATGGTTAGGTTGGTTCAGAGGCAAGGAACTGGTCGGATGAGACACCTTTGCACCAGGACAGTTTTACTGCTTCCCCCAAGGGTCAGGGGAAAGTACGCAAGGAGAACATGGACGCCCAGATGTGGAATTGGAATGGGGAAGGGAAGAGCCAAGGCATGGAAATCTGGCATGAGGCTGAGACAGGGCCAGGGGTTTTGAAGGTCTGTCTTGAAGTGGAGGGATGCCGAGAGCCATCATGGGAGGGGGCTTTGGGAGTGGAAAGAAGGGCACCTTACACTTGCAGGACTGCGATATATGCTATCTGGTACCCACTTGCCCCTGCAAGCAATAGAGAGATTCCTGTCTGGGTCTGCAGTTTTGAAAACATCTATTTATTTTGTCTGCCTCCGTGATTAGGAGGCCAATTTAGGGCTCATCTACTTGGGGAAATCCCTACAAAATAGGCTAGGGTATGAATTTACAGCCTACTTAAAGACCCAGCAGTGTAAATTCACACTTCAGCTTACTTCACAGGAACTCCCCCGCAGAAACAAACCCTCAGAGTCACCTCTGTACCTCAGTCTGGTGCTAAAAGTGAGTGGAAGCTTCTCAAAATGTGGACCTCCAATTCCATTTTTATAGCTGGGTTTTTCTGTCTCCTGGGGCTTTTTGCAGCTGCTGTAGGTTGCTGTAGCTTTGCCGAGGTTGAAGGAGCTGGGCCACTTTACACTGCTCAGGATCTGACCCTTTGCCTCAAGTAACCTTTTATTATCAATTAGCCAGAGGGTATTTTCCTTTTTACTGGCTTCATTATTAAGCTTGTTCATTCACTCCCACCACTGCTGATGTCTTTTTTTTTTTTTTCTTTCTTTCTTTTTTTTTTTTCCCTGTGAATTTTGTGCTGTGTCTTTCCTCCCATGTAATTTCCTAATAGTGAACTAGTGACAGAGTGGGCTGCTGGTATTTCATCTTGTGGCTGGGGGGGGGAGGCTGTTTCTGATACAGAAAAACACTCCATTACAGTAAACTCACAGAAAGTTTCCTTTTCAACCTGAAAGGAGAAGGAAACGGACTCTCCACCAATGGGCGTTCAAGAATTATTTCTGTGAGCTGTGCTTACATTAAAGGCCAGTTTGGTAATGTTCTGTGTAGGGGAAGGAAAAAAAAAAACAACAAAAAAAAAAAAGAGGAAGACGTACTATTTCTTCTTTCTCTTTTTGCTGAGATTTGGCTCGAGTCTTGGCTCCTTATCAGATTGTAGTCCTGCAGTAAAAACACCACCCCTTTGCACTATGCGCTATTGAAGAAATGGTCATTGCTGATGTCCAGCTAAAAGAGCATAAGGATTTAAACCTTCAAAGTTCTCTGTCTGCTGCTGGTATTTAGGAAAACTTGCTTCTTGGCAGGAAGAACTCGGTAACAAGGCAAATACATAGCACAGTACATTAATCTAGCGCAGAAATAAAGTACCTCTCCTCTGAAGGGTAGCAGCAGGGCAAATATTCCCAGCTTTGCCTCTCCAAAGCTCTGAGCAAAACCTGTACATAGTAAGGGTGAGATGAAAGAAGCCTGTGGGAAACTTCCATTCCCTCCTCTTCTGCTCATCATTTTTTAATGTTTGCAAGAGCGCGAATGGCTACCAGATTTGATTACAGAAGTAGCCCCTGGTGCTGAAACCCTTTTGGCAGGTTGTGATACCGGTGCCCTGTGGGGAAATGCAGGCCCGCATGTGGCAGCAAGGCAGCTGGAAATCTCTCTGTATTGGCCCTGCCTTCTTCATTGGGTGAGTTCAGTCCATGCGGGTATGGTTTATCTTCCGTTTGTGTGTATGTCCAGTGAAAACCCTCTTCACCAGTGAACCAAAGCAATGATTTCTCTACAAGTGCCATGCTGAACTAGTGCCATGCTATTTCTGTGTTGAGATTTATGATTTTTTTTTTATATATTTTTTGGAGTTTAGCAAGTGTTGCAAATACATTTACAACAACAGAATTTGACCCTCTTTAATAATCCAATACTCACAATAACCTATGGATTTACACTGATTATTATTCACTGTTTGTTTGAATGACATATTTCTATTCACTGGATTAAAGTAATTTCTGTAGAGAATAATGTACGTAACTAACACGTGTGAGCACCACTATCCTGGTGCTAATACACGTCACATGCTTAATGAATTTGACTCTTGGGTGACAGACGTTGTTTCTTTGTGGGGTCAGTTAAGCATCTGCCTTATTCTTTATATGCCAGTCGTTCAGGTAATTCAAAAGGCTCGGTCTAATTAGCAGATATGGAAAGTTGGTAGCAGTAGTACTGTTTTTTGAGTTACATACGGATAGTTGACATCTGCACAAAAGATAGGATTTGTTGGCTGCTTAAAAAAGAACTAAACCGTAACTGACCATCGCCACAAGATAAGGAAACGTTTCTTGCTGTACTCTAGGGCAAGAGTAAAAACACTGCTTCTGTCTACTTGATGGTAGTTTAATTTAAATTTATTAGACTGCTCCGGGGTATACACAGGAGTCTAATCCTGTAATCCGTGGTGAGGTTGTATGTACCCACTATTGCAGTGTTCCCTGTGCATGGAATAATTTGGCATAAAATGCGCTCTCTGCTTCTCAAGGGAGAGACAGGGGTAACAGAACATTGCCTGACTGTTCACTACTTGGCCTTGGCCGAGTTCCCCTGTATTAGAAAGACATGAATAAAATGAATCTAAGTGTTGAAGGAATAGAGGCTGCAAGATAAGAAATATTTATGTCCCAAACTTGACATAGTATCATAAATCATTAATTTTTGAAGAGATTTAATTCTTCTTTTTGCCTAATTACTTGATTTGTGGCACCAGTTTGCTTAAATTTGTTTCTGTGGTAACTTGAGTAATTTTATGCTTCTCCCTTCTACAGTATTGATTTGCTGATTTCCTCTTTAAATGCAGTCAAAAATCCCCTGTTTGCTAAGTTAAGAAACCAATAACATTGCATGCCTGAGCTCTGTGGTTTGTTGACTTTGACATGTGCTGTCAATTATTAAAATAGATGTTTATATTAAATATATTAATATATTCTATTCCCTACCATTCTGGTAGTATACCTATATGAAAATACTAGGCTAAAGGGTAGTTAAAAGTTTGGTTAGCTTAAGTGTGGGAGCGTATTAACAGTTGAAAAATGTTATTTGAAAGATGACTTTTGTAGTTGAAGCAGTTCTGTTACTTCAATGAACATTGCAAGGTCAGATGTGGACCAAGTGAAAAGAAAGTAAATTGGTGTGTGTGCATGCGTTCTTGCTAGGCGTAACTCATGAATGTTGTGTACACTTGATATTCTCCTCCTGTCTTTCATGCACTGATTTCCATTATTTATGAAAATATTTGCAGGGAAGAGACTGTGGCCTGCTGCTGCTCTTGGTTTGTGGTCCATCTATCCACAGCCCATACAGAACTTGGTCTAGACAGCCTGGCTGATTTATAAGCCTTGGAAATAGGATCCTGTAAGGCATTGTACAGGACACGCTGCTGTAAGTAGTGCTCTCGATGTGTTCACTTTATATTGCATAATAAGCACATTGCGGCTGGTGGCATACACTTGCATGGGACTGATCTTTGAAGAAGCTGGTTGGTGAGGGATGCTCTCCTAAGCCTGGGGAGCCCAGTGGAGCAGTCGGTGCCTGGCTGCCTGATGCTGTGGGCTGACTCAAACAGAAACCCTTTTTCTTTCCAACTGTAGCTGACATAGGCGTTTGCTGTTCTGCCTCAGCCACAGGGTAGGTACCAGCCCAGCCAGATCCGTATCTCACTGCCATTGCAGTCTCTGTGCCAAATCTGTGTTTAAAGACATCTCAATTACTCTGGTCAAAATTTCCATTTAAAAAGAATAGTTAGAATTTTTCAGAAGGAGCACAATCCACAAGTCAATGACCAACCAAGTGTTAAATGAAGAATGATGTACGTCTCTTGCAGACTTCACACCTACAAGAAGCCTTTTCGGAGCCTGACTGTGTCGTATTTCATCTAGCTACCTGCTTTATGTGTTTAGAATGAAAATGCACAAAATCCCACTCCCCCCCAGGAGATGAAGGGCCATGTCACACCATGCAGCTAGGTGTTTCACAGCCGGTCGAACTTGATCCCGTCCCTGGGCTTATTCCACTGGGGCTTGACCTGCCCTCTCATGGGCACAGCAGAAACCCCCGCTGCAAAATGGGCAGCTGCTCCAAGATCACTGCGTGCAAATCTTGGACCTCTGTGTGATGTTGCGGTCCCTTGGGTCCCCTTGGGTCATTTCTGCTTCCTGGCAATGCTGCTACTGCAGGGAGAAGCCCGGCAGCCCACCCTGCCTGCTGAGCCCCTGCAAGAGCTTTGAAGCCAGCAGGAGAGAGCCCAGCTGCTTCTGCACCAGCAGAGCCTTGTTCTTCACTGCTGTGTCCTCAGCTATGGAGCTTGGGCCCAAGCAGACTCACTATGGAAGGGTTAAATATACTGCAGAAGCCAAGTCAAGGAAATAAATCAAAGCTATGTTGAAAGGGCAGGGTTACAGGTGTTTTTCTGGACAGAAAGTTCCATGCAGGATACAAAGATCATGCAGAAGGACCCCCATGACCAGGTTTCCAAGCCCTTGGCCCAATGGCTCCTTTTCTTCTTCTCTGTTTGAAAACATACACAGCAGGCGATTTGGCAGTGGCCTTCATATTGGGCATATGGGCGATACACGTCTACACACAGGTAGGCTGTGGCACGCTTGAGTTTTGTGTACAACAGCTGTTGACTTCTATGAGAATTACCTTTTGTCTTATTGTCATTAATATAAGTGGTGTTTGACTACTGCTTTCATGATAGTTT